TAATAGCAACCTGCACATATATTCATATATTGTAAATCTGCTCATAGCTTATCCAACCTGTATATAATGTTCATAGTACACCCATCTGTAAATATCACCATAGTTTTCTATAACTGCACTTTATAACTTATTCCTGTATCCTGCACTTGCTGCTATTGCACTGCTGGTTAGACCTAAACTGCATTTCGTTGCATTGTACTTGTACATGTGTAATGACAATAAAGTTGAATCTAATCTAATTATATTTTATTTTGGTAAAATAAGTGTAATCTAGAGGCCTTTGCCTTTCATATAAACCACTTCTGATAGCAAATGATCAACTAGAAGTCAAGTTATGTGTTGTTCCTAAAACTTGGATAGGCGACAAGACTTTTGTCAGGTAGTGTATATACATACATACCTTCCTACATATTATAAAAGTGGTTTAAAAGGACATATTTGATGTCCTTGTAATTCAAAATGCTTCAAAATATTATTTTCTATCAGCTTATAAGGGTCTTTTGACATGCAAAAAATATAAAATCAATATTAATGTACAGTATACTGTTTTATTTATTCAGCTGCTCTTCAAATTTTAGGATCTGCAAGACGTTTTAATGTTTCTTAAAGATGCTTATTCTGCTGTTCAAGGCTGCATTTATTTAGTGCAAAGAAACGTTGCAAAATTACTCCAAACATATAAACATTAAACTAATTCCTGTGATTTCTCCTGTATAATTTATTCCTGTGATTACTGCGGCTCTCCTTCACAAATCAGTCAAACGTGTCGATGGGAATTTGAGTGGCCTTTCAACCTTAATTATAAGATATTGCTTATGTACAAGTGCATTGCTTTGGATATTAAATTCCAAACAAATCCGCAGAATGTCTCTGATGAAAACAGAAAACTGCCTTTACAGAACAAATCAGCTTTACTGAACCACTTTCTCAAAGAATCAGTGTATCTGAATGAACTCCTTTGAGTCGATCACTTGCCACTATACAGTACAGTGACTATTTCAACTGCTCAAAGAGAGAAAGAGACTAAAAAGGCACTAATTCAAAGCCTGACAGTCAATCTGAAATGGTTAAACAAGAACAAGCTGAGTGACACTTAAAACGCTCCAGTGCTGCTATACATGCATGAATAAAAATCCAAATCCATTCAGAAATAGAGCAGGTATTTGCTAATTATGATGAGTTATGGTTTTATTTTTACATGACGCATCATGCTGATCTTCTCGAGGAAGGTTGCTTATTTATTTGTACACCCTTGTTTACTTTCCCCAGACCCTTAGGATGAAGGGGGAAATAATAAAGGTGTCACGATCCTCCAAATCCTCGATTCGATTACATTTTCGATTCAAAAGGCACGATTCGATTCGATTTTCGATTATGAATAATTAATTAATTAATGACCAATTAATTATTTGTAGCCTACTGTTTAAACTACCTAACCTGCATGGTCTTTGTTTTACCCATAAACAAATCATACAGTAAATGAATAAAGGCAAGGTACACACATAATTACCACCTGTCAATCACTTTTTCTGCGGGACTCGTGAATAGGCAGTGATCTGTGTCGTTATAATGGCATCGGTAAAAAAGACGCACAACCAATAGGAACCAGCCAACAGTATCTGAGGTGTTCGCTAAAATGATTAAGTACAAGTGAGTGAAAGATTGAAGCAGTCCTCTGACTGCCTGGACCTGCTGTCTCGAGCCCATGGCTGTCTGTGTGCGTCTGTGTCTGTGTGTGTGTGTGTGTGTGTGTGTGTGTCAGAGGTAGAGAGGAAGGAGGGCTGCTCAGAAATGCTACACGCCACTGTGGATGTCAAATTGTTGTCGTTCTAAAATGCCATTTAAAAACAAAGACAGTGTAAACAGGGCCTGAGTGTGTACTTTTCGCGAGCGGATTTGCAACGGGGGCAGGCGGAGGATCGCGATGCCGGTGTTGTCTATCGGACGAACCCTAATACATACATAGCAGAGCTTGGGAAACTGTGTTTTTTTTGTCGACATCACGAACATTGTCAACATAACTCACTGGAAATCCAAAATGCTTACACACCAGCGACTTCATTGAAAGAGGAGAGGGTAAGTTCTGTCGACGGGTCTCCTGTATCTGCAGTTCATAAGCACTTCAACAAGCCTGTTTTTTCCTGCTTGGCAAGCCAAGCTGACGTGACATGGGGGCGTGTTTATTACAGGTCACACAGCGTGTCTATCATGCATCCTCTCTCCCCCCTTTAATTTGGAGATCGCTAACATCACTATCATCATCCCCCCAAAAAAAGATAAACCACAGCATATGCACTTTTTCTTTATTGATACAGTAAGTGTTACGGTTTCCACTATAACCATGAACTACACTTCCGCCTTTTCCTGGACTACATTTTCATACATGCACTTCTCCCAGACACGCACACCTGTTCATTCATCTAGCCTGATTACAATCACCAGCTGAACCCTGTCAGATACTGAATACACACCATTCATAAGCTACTCTTGAACTCTTCCAGTTGGCAGAGCCTTGTTCGCTTCTAGTGACTTTACAACGCGTTTCTCCTTGTCTGTTTCTCCGTGTCTTGATCCTAGCCTAGTATACCCTTGTTATCCTGTTTAGCCGCCAGCCTTACGACCTATTGCCTGTACTTTGATTACGACTCTGGATTTGCCTACACATACCTGTTTGTACCTGATTTGACCATTGCTTGCTTGACGACATTGAATAAACCTGCATATTGGGTCTTACCTCCAGTTGTATCCCTCCCCCGATAGTAACAGTAAGGAACACCCCCACCTCTTCTTGCAGTGTAAAATGATGAAAGGTCACTCATTACCAACCCTAAGGTAGCATGATATATGTATGATATGATATATACGCTTTCAGTGAAGACAAACTTTCATGCATTTAGATCACATTACCATACTTTGTATGATTCTTTTTTCTTACTTTATTGTAAAAAAATGCAGGGTTTCATACTATTCCTTCATGTTTCCCTACACAAATCGATTAAGTTAACTCCCAGGGGTCGAAGGCCGCGTATACGCGTTCTGAGGCGTCTTCTCCTGATAACTCCAAAAAGAACTTAAATTACACGTTCAGTTTTGATCATACAGATAAGAGCAAAACATCAGTCGAATCTGTTAGGTGTCTACTTTTTTGTGTGCATTCACAATAACAATAAAAGTGTGTGCTTTTAAAAAAAAAAGGAAAAAATTTAAGTGGCATGATCATAAAACAACTTGTTGTCCCCCAAAAAAACTTAGGAATTTTGTTTCAACTCATTATAAATTCGTTTAAACAAGCAACAAAAGTAAGAAGACAAAAAAGGATTTTCACTGCTTGTTCAAAATACTCATTTAAGTGAAGTTTCTTAAACTAATTTCGAGAGGAGCACGTGATAGGATTGACTACAGCTGATCCCTATCACTAATCACTAACTAGCCAATTAGATCACTCTAAACTCAATATAAATATCCAGCTAAACTTCATTCCTCATCTTCGTTTTGGAACACTCTCCCCCCAATCCATCCCTTCTCTCTCGATGGCTTAGTGGCTAGCACTGTTGCCCCACAGCAAGGAGGTTGTTGGTTCAAATACTAGCTGAGCCAATCAATACTCTCTGTGCGGAGTTTGCATGTTCTCCTCGTGTTTCCGTGGGTTTTCCCCGGGTACTCCGGTCTCCTCCAGCACTCAAAAACCATGCAACAAAAGTTAGTCACAAGCTCTTACTACAAACTAGTGCAGTTAGCGGTCTATTTTGGGAAGTTATCGAGAACTACCTGATCTCAAATCCCTCCTAATGCTTATTGACCAGGCGGGAGCCTTGAGCTTATCTATCTCCGAGCTCAGGGTTCTCTCCCAGGACAGCATGCCAAACTTGCTTAAATAGTCAAGCATTATCCAAGTGCGAACTCTTGAAAACGAGTTAAACATTAGTGTGTTCAAAAGCAAAAATGAAAACCTTATTTTAAATGTTTTCCAATATGTACATAAAGTCCCAATTTGTTGTCGAAACCCATATATTTGTAACAATTTACTGTTACAATACAAAAATAAATGCTTTTCTTTCGGAGAAAGTCTTCTTTCTGTTAGTTGGGGGGGGCTAAAATTTTGAAAAATAATTTTAGGTCAATAATTTTAGCCCCCTTAAGATTGTTTTTCAACTATCTGCAAAACAAACCACTGTTATCCAATGACTTGCCTAATAACCTAATCTGCCTAGTTAACCTGATTAACATAAGCCTTTAAATTTCACTTTAAGATAAAGCAAAATAACTAGTCAAATATTTTGGGGTGCCATCAAGGCAATAACCAATTAAATTAGCTATTACACTTAAAACTATTGTTTTAAAATGTGTTGGAAAAATGCTCTCCCACTTGGTGCACTTGGGGATTTTTGAAAGTATAAAAATGTTCATCAGAGGACAAATAATTGTGATTTCAAACATATATAGCACATGCATACAGTGGAAGTCGGAATTATTCGCCCCCCAGTATATTTCTTCCACAATTTCTGTTTAATGCATTTAACACATTTTTAAACTTAATAGTTTTAATAACTCATTTCTAACAACTGATTTAATTTATATTAGCGATAATGAAAGTACATAAAGTAGATATTTTTTCAAGTATTTAGCTTAAAGTGACATTTAAAGCAAAATTTATTATTAAATTAAAACTAGGTTAATTAAGTAAACTACGCAGGTTAGGGTAATTAGGCAAGTCTTTGTATAACAATGTTTTTTTTCCATAGACTATCGAAAAAAAATATTGCTCAAGGGGGCTAATAATATTGACCTTAAAATAATTAAAAACTGCTTTCATACTAGCCGAAATAAAACAAATAAGACTTTCTCCAGAAGAAAAACATATTATAGGAAATACTGTGAAACACTCCTGAATCTGTAAAATAAAGTTTGGGAAATATTTAAAAATGAAAAAAAAAAAAAAAAAAAAAATCAAGCACACATAGGTTTGGACATGAGACAGACAGAAGTGAATCTGAACTGACCACAGTTTTCCTCGTCTGCCTGATTTCCACAGTCATCCACGCCGTTGCAGTGCAGCACTTGAGGAAGGCAGGTGCTGAGGTTTCCACAGGGGAAATATCCCAGCGGGCAGTAGGGCTGATCCTCTGATACATTAAACATGGTCAGCACCACTTCAGAAGAGAAAAACACAGACGGGAGAAAGAAATTAGGCATTATCCTTTCAGCCACAGGTTGCATTTGTCTGCTTCCTAGAAGTACTTTGTCCAAAAAGTACAGTTTCATAACAACACTAAATAAAAAAAGTTCTGCATTAAACACTTTTTAGAAAATTGATTAGGGGAGAACAGCGCACAAAGGAACGCATTTTGGTTTTGGCTAAATAATGAAAGTAATAGGGTTAGACAAACCTTCTTTTTTTGTCAACAACAGACAAAAGCCTCTCCTATACCAGTGGTTCTCAAAGTGGGGGTCGGGACCCCCTGGGGGGGGGGGGGGGTCGCGGGACAATGAGAGGGGGTCACTTGGTGATTTGCAAAAATTTGAATAAACTTTTATGATTACCATTGCTAATCCATAACCTACAGAAGATAAAACATAGTTACATAAAAAATACAGTATCCAAACAAAAAGCCATCAGCCTTTGGTTTTTATTATTTTTTTTTATTAATTTTTTTTTTTTTACATTGATGACAACCCTTAGGGTTTTTACATTAGATTAATGACAAAGCAATGACAAAGCAATAGCGTCAGTGCACCAGATTCTACAGCACTAGCTAAACTTTCTGACACCGTTACAGCACTCGCTTACATTTAAAATACATACAGGACACTAAACATGGAATATGATGTGTAAGTGGCAGTCTCCAAAATTAAACCAAGAAAAGACTTGGGATGTAACTTAAATATCGTGCCCACCAGTCTAATTAGATGAGGTTAATATAAAATAATCATAATAAAAATGATATGGGACTGTTGCACTTTTTTCGTGTTGTCAATATGCTTGTGTTTGTATAGGCTATTTGGTTTGTGTGAGTGTTGTGTGCAACGTTTGTATGATTATAACCACTTACGAAAGTAGTGGAGGTCGCGAGTCATTGGCAGTGTTATTTTGGGGGTCCAGGGCTGAAAAGTTTGAGAACCCCTGTCCTATACAAACAAGCACTGAAAGTATGCCGGACCTATGGTTTAAGCAGTATTTCCAATAGTGCCGGGAGTAAAAATTTTACTATTTACTACACCTGTGGGGCAAGTTGTAAGAGACAGAGGGTAGTTGTAACATGTGCTAATAAAGTCTGATTTCCCACAATTAATTTATATCCAGTTAAAACACTGCGTAATTGTGATACTACGACACGTCTTTCTTTGGCTCAGTGCCAGCCAACGTGCCAAAGTTCCGCTCCATGCTGCAACAAAAGTGCTTTTTTAATAATCAATCAAGCCTGCGTCGCGCAACACAACAAATCAATTATGAAATCCGTTGCCAACTCCTTTAGTAATCGATTTTTATCGATTTAATTGATTCATTGTTACAGCCCTAGTAAATTTTACTCAGAGGGCTTTGCTGTGTAGTTACGAGAAACACAATAGAAAATTGTAAAGGAAACCATGCACTCGCGCTTGTCACTTCAGGTCAGAATACCAGCACACACGACATGAGTGCTGTGTAACAGCAGTGAGGAGATTGTAAACAAAAAAGGATGTCGGCAGAGCTTTTTGGTTTCTTTTCTTGTGCATCCCTGCCACTGGCTCCCCATCTGAAAGAGTTTTTAGCATAGGGGGTTATGTAGTCATTCAACTAGGGATGCAACGATTATAGTCTGAGAAATAATCACGGTTTCATGGTTATCATGATTATTATGCATTCATTAACTTCTAAACACCACTAGTTCAGAAAATCAGTAACCAATTATTACAGCACAAAATAATATTAAAAACAAACAATAGTCCATTTCACCCTTTGTGCTAAAAAATAAGAAACATTTTTGACATTTAAACAATTTTACACTGTAAATAAATAATAGAACAATGAATAGCACCGTTGCTCCCAACTTCAAAAATTTTAAGAGCACCATAAAACATTTAGGACCACCCACCAAAAATGAATGAGCACCACTGCAAATTGTATATTAACAGATTTATTGTATTTGAAAACATCATCAATCAAGACTAACAAAAACCAGAAACAACTGACTAATTCTGTTATGACCTATTGATATTTGTGCAATAATTGCAAAATTAATGTCTAATAATTATAAAATATTATGATGACGATGATGATAATAATACTAACCAGGAATAACATTATCATGCTGCCTTGAATGTGCTTGAATGCGAGTTATGTGCAATAAAAAGTCCAACTGTTACATTACGACAAATAAATCTATGGTTTGCATTAAACAAAACTGAAGCATTGCAGTAAGAAATGTTTTGCATTATTGCTTTTATACGCATGTTAAAATAATAACCAGAAAGATCGGACAAAAGAAAGGCAGAAAAGTCTCACTTCTGCCACTCTTCAAAGGTTTGGGTTTGTGTCATTGTGAATGCTCACTCTTGTTATGTGCTGATTTACTTTGTGATGCCCACCTGTGCAATAGTCATTTGTCATGAGCTGAAGTTTCAGCTTAAACTTTGTAAAGTCGATCTTCTTTGGCAAAGATCTATGAGGTTAGATTTTACATTTAGCGTTCATTTGCACTGAACACACATTGAATGCAATGCATCGAGATTCGAGCCATTAAACGGCTGATTCACTAGGAGTCTTTTAGCACTCTCTCCGAAAACATTGGATTGATCTCGACTGGCGAATCATATCACCTCATGAACGCTAGAGACGCCAATATTTGTAACTTTAAATGGGGAGAACACAGATCCGATTCATATCGGAAAATTTCCACATATGAAGGCATGAATCTGATTTGAGTAAATCACAATCCATGTGATTTGTTCCTGCTTACACGAACATGGGCCATATCGGATCTGTGCCACATGGGAGAAAAAAATAATCTGAATTGAGTCACTTGAACAGTGCAGTGTAAATGCGGCCTATGTAACATTTTTTTATCAAGTGTAAGAGTCTCTTTAACACTTTTGTTTATTTTATTATAAAGAAATCAGATATTATGAATAAATATACTTGTTATTGACAAACAAAACTATTTGCCTTAGTAATGTTGGTCAATTAAAATAAAGTGGTTAAATAAAGAAAATCCTAAAATTCCTAAATGGATTTTTAAAAAAACAATATTGTGATATTTTTTGCAATATCGCTAAGCCTTCTGTTAAAACACAATGCAGGCATGATAAATAAAGTTGCAAGAAAGCTAATGAATAATTCTGACTGTATACATCAAACAGTATAGTAAGTTTTGCACTATATTCCCTCATCGAGTTTTCATTTATCTAAAGTCATAATAAAAATCTCTTACACGTTTTTTTATATATAAAATGTATGAAATGTGACCACTTTCAAAGCTCTTATACTGCATTGCTACTTTTCTTGTGACTGATAAAATCTGTTCTTCTCTCGGCGCTTCATTAATACCTTTCTGTATGACTCAAAGGACTACGAGTCCTTCTCAAGGCAACCTATAGATATATGAACAAACAGCCCGACAGAAGAAGTAGATGCGTGTCAACATGAAGAATTGCCATAGTGTAGCTAAACCTCGGGGGCAGAATGTACAGAGCTATTTGTCACAAGCTAGCTTTTTTAATTTCTTTATTTATTTTCTGAATTGGAGTAAAGCAGCAAAGGTCTAGGCTGAGTTTATGCAACACAGAGAAATGAAATATGCTTGAAAAGGATCTTGGTGAAAAGTTAGAAATAAGACGAAATACACACTTGCGTAATAGATGAATCAGCAAAGCACATTAAAAAAATTTTGCTGCTTGTTTAAACTACAGGGTGGGCCGTTTATATGGATACACCTTAATATAATGGGAATGGTTGGTGATATTTACGTCCTGTTTGTGGCACATTAGTATATGTGAGGGGGCAAACTTTTCAAGATGGATTGTGACCATGGTGACCATTTTGAAATTGGCCATCTTGGATCCAACTTCTGTTTTTTTTTTTTTTTTAATAGGAAGAGGGTCAGTTCACACATTAAACTTATTTGGAATTTCTCAAGAAAAGCAATGGGGTGCTTGGTTTTAACGCACCTTTATTCTTTCATGAGTTATTTACAAGTTTCTGATCACTTATAAAATGTGTTCAATGTGCTGCCCATTGTCATGGATTGTCAATGCAACTCTCTCCTCCCTCTCTTCACACACTGATAGCAACACCGCAGGAGAAACGCCAGCACAGGCTTCCAGTATCCGTAGTTTCAGGTGCTGCACATCTTGTATCTTCACACCGTTGACAACAAAGATAGTGGGGCCATTCTTTATCAATGGAAACCTCAATGCCACTTGATATTTGAATTTGCTGCATGATGATGTGTTTCCCTCTTTATGCACAGAAGCTGGCAAGTTTCTGGAGTTTTTCCAGCAAGATGGTGCACCACCACATTATGGGTGTTGTGTCCGTTCCTATATGAACAGCTTCCTGAAAAGTGGATTGGTCATTAAGGGCCAGTTGAATGAAGACACAAGATGTGCAGCACCTGAAACTACGGATACTGGAAGCCTGTGCTGGCATTTCTCCTGCGGTGTTGCTATCAGTGTGTAAAGAGTGGGGTTGCATTGACAATGGGCAGCACATTGAACACATTTTATAAGTGGTCAGAAACTTGTAAATAACCCATGAAGGAATAAAGTTATGTTAAAACCAAGCACAACATTGTTTTTCTTGTGAAATTCCCAATTAGTTTGATATGTCACATGATTCTGTTCCTATTGAAAAAACACAAAATTTGGATCTAAGATGGCCGACTTTAAAATGGCCATCATGGTCACCCCCCCCCATCTTGAAATGTTTGCCCCCTCACATATACTAATGTGCCACAAACAGGACGTTAATATCATCAACCATTCCCATTTTATTAAGGTGTATCCATATAAATGGCCCACACTGTACTTAAAATGAGTTGAAACACAGGTGGCACGGTGGCGCAGTGGTTAGCACTCTCACCTCACAGATATATTCAAATAACATTTTTTTTGTTTGTTTTTTTAAAAAAAGCACTTTTCAGAAGTTAAGAAACTAGTATGCATTTAAAAAACT